AGGTCGGCAAACCACGGGCGCCGTGGCCAGTGAGGGGCAATGCAGACCATTTCTGCGCCCTCCAGGATCATCTTGCGTATGGTCGCCGGTATTAATGGCAGCGGTGGGAAGGCGTACAGGAGTTGCGCCGGCCACCGGCACCTGAGAGCATCTGTTCCCTCCGATCCCGGGGACGGGAATCTGGAGAAGAACCTGGGGAGTTGTGTGTTCTTGTGGTTGGCAAATAGATCTAGGTGCGGTTGTCCGAACCTCCGGGAGATCTCCTCGAAGAGAGCCGGGTCCAGACCCCATTCCGACTGGTCCACCTTGGCTCTGCTCAGGGAGTCTGCCTGGGTGTTTGTCTCCCCTGAGATGTGTTCCGCTCTGATGGAACTCACATTGGTTTCTGCCCACCGAGCCAGAGCCAATGCTTCCTTCATTAGTTCCACTGATCTCGTTCCTCCCTCCTTGTTTACGTGTGCCTTGGCTGCTACATTGTCTGTTAGTACGAGGACGTGCCTCCTCGTTACTAGGTGTGAGAAATGACAGAGGGCCAGGTGTATGGCCCGGAGCTCTAGCCAGTTGATGCTGTGTGACCGGTCCTTCTGTCCCCACTGGCCCTGCGCTATCTGGGTTCCCAAGTGGGCTCCCCATCCAAACAGGCTCGCGTCTGTCGTGAGTGTGACCCTGTTCGGTTCCCTGAATATGCTCCCCTTGAGCGTCGTGGGGGATAGCCACCATTTTAGTGATTTCATCACCTGTGCTGGTACCAGCACTCTCCTGTTGGAGGTGCTGAGGTTCCTCCTCTGGTAGGGTAGGAGGAACCACTGCAATTCCCTCGAGTGGAGCCTTGCCCATGGGATGATGCCCATGCAAGATATCATCTTCCCCAGGAGCTTCGAGAGTTGTAGCAAGGGCGCTCTCCTGATTCTTTGAATCTGGTGGATTAGGTTGGATATGCTGATCAGTCGCTCCTGGGAAAGGAATACCCTGCAGTGTGACGTGTCTATTACCGCGCCCAGGTGTTGCAGTCTCCTTGAGGGAATGAGGTGGCTCTTGTTTAGATTGACCGAGAATCCGTGCCCCTGTAGGGTTCGGATTGTGGTCTTGAGATCTGCCCTTGCTTGTTCCCGAGATCTGGACTGGATCAAGATGTCGTCCAGATAAAACTGAACGCGAACCGGGATCAACCTGAGATGGGCCGCTATTACGGCTAAGATCTTGGTGAACACCCTTGGTGCTGATGATAGTCCGAAGGGTAATGCCCTGTATTGGTAATGCCGACCCGCGTAGGTAAATCTGAGGAATTTCCGGTAGCTGGGATGTATGGGAATGTGTAGGTACGCCTCTGTGAGATCTATTGAGGATAATAGATCGTCTTCCCTGACGCTTGCTAGGATGGATTTCAAGGAGTGCATCTTGAACCTCCTGTACTTTATGAAATAGTTCAGGCCCTTCAGGTCCAAGATTGCTCTCCACCCTCCTGATGTCTTTGGGATAACGAAGAGGATAGAGTAAAATCCTCTTCCCTCCTCTTCTCTTGGTACCTTCTCTATGGCTTGAATTGACAGGAGGTGGGCTATGGCCGAAGTTATGAGCCTCGTCTTGTGTGCTCTTCTGGAGATGGGACATCTGATGAACCGGTTTGGTGGGGGAGAGCAGAAGTCTAAGGTCAGGCCATGCCTGATCGTTTCCAGAACCCAGGCGTCGGTAGTGGTCTGCTCCCAGACCTCGATGAAATTTCCTAACCGACCCCCAATGGGAGTATCCTGTTTGGCGTCACTTGGTACGCTTAAAGGATCTGCCTCCCGCTCCCCTATATGGGCGTCTGGACTGGAACTGGCCCCTGGCTCCCGGGCTTTGGCGATCCTGGGTTCGATCCTGTCTCGGGTAGAAGGATCGTGAGCCTCTGGGCCAGTCCCAGGATTGCCCTGATCAAAAGGGCTGTCTCCATTCCCAGGGGCTTCCTGGGCGGGAACCCTGTCTCCGGGAGTCCTGACTGCCTCTCCTGTCTAACTTCTTTGACGGATGTACTAGGATTTTTTTCTTGTCTCTGCCTTCGCTGACATGTGGGTCCAGAATGGAACCAAATAGGGTTTCTCCACTGTATTTGGACGTCGAAAGACGCCATTTGGACCTCAGGTCTGTCTTCCAATTTTTGAGCCACAGTAGCCTACGCGAGGCCACTGTGGCCGCAATGGATCTTGCCGCGTACTTTGTTGCGTACAGTGAAGCGTCAGACACGAATTGAGAGGCCGCGAGGAGCTTGGCCAATGTCTGGTGTACTCTGACCTGGTCTGGAGGCACCGTGCCTTGGAGTTCCCTCAGCCACATGATGCTGGCCCTCGCGAAGAATGATGATGAAGTGGCTGCTCTGGCCGCCCAGGCTGCAGCCATATGGGAACGCCGGAGGGAGTGTTCGAATTTCTTCTCCTCAGGTCTCAAGACCTCCGCCATGTCTCCTGGAATCGCGGAGGTAGAAAATAATGAGATCAAGGGGTTATCTACAGTGGGAACCTCTAACTTGTTAGAGAAGGAGGGAGATAGGTTGAAAAGCTTTCTTTCCGCGCTGTTAGGTGCCGGTGGGCTCGCAAGTGAGGACCATTGTTCCTCCAGCGTGGTCATAAAGACCTCCGCACATGGAATGTACTTATCCTGTGGAACCTTTTTGGCAAATAGAGGATTGGCCTCCTTGCTTGTTGAGGGCTTCTCATCCTGTACTGATGTTAGGTTGACTGTGGAGACTGCCTTTATCAGGAGTGACTTTAGGAGCGCTGGGTTAAAGAGGCCAGAGCTCGTCGCCTGCTCAGGTGCGGTCTCCTTGTCCTCCGAGAGGGGCATGTCCGACATGTCGAGGTCTACTGAGTCACTCTCTCCCAGTTGAGAGGAAGTTTCAGAGATGCTGGTAGGGGGGTGGCCTAGCCCGTCCCTTACGGGGTGTGTGAAGGGCTACTTGCCCCTTAGAAGCCATGAACTGGGAGAATGCATTCTGCATGAATGCCTGGAATTGTGCCGACCATATGTTCTCCTGCGCTTTGTCACTGGGGCGAGGCGCTGGAGTGTGGTCGGGTGAAGAAGAAGAAGCTGGTGAGGAGGGATTGGAGGAATCTAGCTGTTCAGTTTCCCCAGGAGGAGACCAAGTCTTGAGCACTTCCTCGGCAGTAGGTTCTGTGCTGGGCGCCACCACTGGGACAGGGGAAACCGAATTTGTCCCATTGGCACTGGTTCTTTGTGCCCTGCTAATTTGCCTTTCTAAAGCCAAATGTCTCCTCAAAGCCTCTCGCTCAGCCGTTTTAGACTGTCCCTTCTGAGAAAGGTGCTTTGTTTTAGCTTTCTTCTTCCCCCCCACCTCTGATTCAGAAGATCTGCGTTTTTGCTGTTGCTGTGGGGGGGACAATTGAGGGACCTGTGTGACTGAATACGAGACATTGTCTGCCATTGTGCCAGACACCCCGAGTAGGCAATGCCTGGAATGGGGGAATGAGATACGCAGATCAGATGCAGATGCTTGGGGCTGTGCCCTCTTCTGCCTATACAAACAATGGCCGGACAGACAGGAATCTTTGGACAGAAGATCCTGCAAGGCAGTGACTAAAGGTCACTATAGGAACAGTTAGGAAAAGAAAAATATTCCTCCTCACCTCCTCACCTAGTCCAGACAAAAGTACAGTTTATATCTCTCTCTCCCCCGGTCTGTGGCTGTGGTAGCAGACCACGCTCAGAACTGATAGAAGTTCTATTCTTTTATTCCTCTTCCTTCCTCTTGCCCAAATGTCTTAATGTAAAGGAAAAAAGCGGCGGCTAAACTGCTCGTTTAAAATGGCGAATGGGAGGAAGCCCCGCCTCCCAATAGTAGCCGGATGAGCCACGAGGCTCCAACAATGGCGGGTCTTTAATAGCCAGCAATAGGGTAATTAACCGGCTTGAATGGCTCTTTTGTCCTTAAGGGGGCTGTGCCTCTCCGCTGGGGGAGAAAAAACGGCGCTGAGGCTCTGCCGGTCGGTTTGGGCGCGCTGCGCTTCTCGCGCCGCTCAGCTGATCAGTGCTCTGTTTTCCCGCGCCGCTCAGCTGTTTGGCGCTGAACGGCGCCTCAGCTCCTCCGCCGGACCGAGTGGCCTCCGTGCCACTCAGCTGCCCGGCGGGTGATCCGGGAAATGTCCCCGCGCCAAACAGCTGTTTGGCGGGTCGGGGATCCGCGGGAGATCCACTGACCGGCCCGAGCCCCCCTGGCTAAACCGCCCTGACGATCCTCTCACCACTCCGACGATCCTGGCTGGGAGTCCGTCGGTGTTCTATTCATCTGCCCGGGATCCCTGCCTGCTGCAAAAAAGGGAGGAAAAAAACTGGAAGAGGATATTCTTTTCTTTGTGAAAACTCTTCTTTCCTAAGAGCTGCTTCTCGCACTTCTACCAGGCTACGAGACTGAGTCAAAACTGGGGTCACGCCCAAAGGAAGGGGTGTGGCCGAAGTTTTTACCCAGTCTGCCAGGCAGGAAGGCCGTCATAGAACCCATCCATTTGGACTCTACAGCCATCCTGCTGGAGAAGCCCATTGTTTTTCCACCGTGCTGCGGAAGAAGGGCGGGCAGAGAATCCGCTTCTCCTTTCCCTCAATCAGATATGGTTCAAGAACAGGGCCAAAAAGGTGCATGCCACTATAAGGAGAAGTTGCCATGTGCCACTTGGATTTCAGGCTGGCCCGCCACTGTTTTAGCCAGAGAAGTCTGCAGGACGAGATGGTGGCCGCAATGGATCTGGTGGAGTACATGGCAGAGTAGAGTGATGCGTCCGCCACGTACTCAGACGCTGTGACTAATTTGCCCAATGTCTGGTGTGCTCGCACCTGGTCGGGGGGAATAAGCGCCTGGAGCTCACGGAGCCATATGATGGACGATCTGGCAAAGAAAGATGATGATGATGTTGCCGCTCTGACTGACCATGTCGAAGCTTGATGAGCTCTACAGAGGGAAAATTCAAATCTCTTTTCCTCTGCTTTCAAGGCCTCTGCCATGTCCCCTGGTATGGTGGAGGAAGAAAACAAAGAGGTTAGGGGAGTGTCCACTAGTGGCACATCCAGGAGGGAAGAGGAGGAAGAGACGTTGAAAAGTTTTTTCTCAGTCCCGCTAGGAGTGGGAAGAGTGCCTAGGGAAGCCCATTGTTTTTCCACCGTGCTACGGAAGAAGGGCGGGCAGAGAATCTGCTTCTCCTTGACCACCAGCTCTGAGAACAGAGGGTTCGAGTCCTGGGGGTGGTGGCCACTGGCTTAGGCTCCTACTCAGGAGTGATGTTGGCCAAAGTACAGGCCTTTAGTAGCAGTGACCTGAATAGAGAAGGATCAAATAGGCCAGATGCCAGGGACAGATCCGGAGCTGTCTCTTCATCCTCTGACATGGGCAAGTCAGAAGTTTTGAAGTCCATGGAGTCATCCTCTCCTACTTGAGAGGATGTATCCTAATTGCCCGAGCTGGGGAACAGGGCGGGGCCTGTCTGAGGCAGAGATGTCGGGGGAGGCGGGGGCATCTATAAAGGCCGTTGACCCATGGAAGAGGCCGTATTGTGCAAAGCCTTGGTTCATAAAGGCCTGAAATTGGTCCGGTCATATCCCCTGTTGTTCTGTTGGGTGGATGCCAGCTGCCATAAGTGTATATGTGGCTTCCGGGCCTTGTTGTATTGTAGGGGAGGGGGAAATTCCCCAAATGTTTGCAAGAGAGGGGAGAGGGGGACCGACCTGTCCAGTTTCCCCCTGAGGAGACCATACCCTAGGGGCAGCATTGGGAGGCGCGAATTGAGGCTCAAATGGTGAGCGGTCCAGTGGGATGGGGGAAACTACTTCTGCTCCACTGGAGGTGAGTCTTTGAGCTCTGGAGAACTCCTTCTCCAGCGCAGGATGTCTCCTCGAGGCCTCTCTCTCAGCGGCTTTGGAGGGCTTCTTAGTGGCCAAGGCCTTTGCCTTAGTTCCCCCCCCCCGCCGCTTCCAAATTGGAGGATCTGCGCTTTTTTTCTGCGGGGGGGGGGTAGAAGAGCCCTGCTATGGCTGAGGAGTTGCACTGTCTGCCATTGCCACGTAGATATTCTGGGCAGGAGATATCCGGGGAGGGGGGGTGGAATGCAGATCTGGTTGTCAGAGAGGGAAGCCCCGAACTCTGAACAACAGCAATGGCTGACAGCCAGATAGTCGCCTAGAACTATCTGTTAGGCCCTGCGGCACAGCGCCACGCGGCTAAATGGGACAGATGAATTCTAATAAATTCCCCCCCTTGTGAATGGATGTTGGATGCAATGACCAAAGGTTGAGGCCCTGTTGAGGTAAGTTTTCTTTAAAGAAATATCCTCTGGCCCAGTCCTTAAGGCCTGAAGGGCCTGTGATGCCTTGGAAGGCCTGATGTACTGTCAGATAAGGCCGAAGGGCCTTATAATTATTTTTGAGGCAGGCCAAGGAGCTGCCTGGGGAACCCAAAATGGCGGCCACGCCACTGATTTTCTGTCCAGGCGAGCGTACTGGTGGATGAGTAGGAGGTCTTTGTAGCCTTTATCTCAGTCCTAAGAGGAAACCCAGTGCGATTTAGTTTGCCCCCAATCCGTGCCTGTCACGGCAGGATAAAGAGAGAGCCTGGTTCTTGATAGAGAAGCCTGAATCATTGTAACTGAGGGCTTTGCGAGGCTCTCAAAATGGCGTCCACGCCAAAATTAATGGCCGTTTGTGATTCGGCCGGGCCTTCCCTGTCTTGAGGGACCCTGAGGGGAAACTTGTTGTCCAATTTGAATTTCCTGCCTCTGGGGCCGAAAACGAGGCACTTGCGGTTTTAGTTTGTTGCGTAGCCTCCGCTGCGATCCGGATCGCCGCTGGAAGTCGGCAGGGGCCTTGCGGCGACGGTATACTCCAGTGAGGCTGTCCGGTCTCCGAAAAGCTCTGCGGCTAACACCCCGTGCCTTCTGGAAGGGTCTGTAGTCGATCGGAGGCACGATCAGTCCGAGACTGGAAACGGCCTGGGTGGAGCCTGGAAGGCTCGCTGGAGCCGAAGCTGCAGTCAGTTGACAAAACTATATCAATTAATTTGGAGCTGAATTATACAGTAAGAATTTAAGTTGAATTTGAAATCAATTGCTCTACCTAATCTGTAATTCAGAGGAGCCAAGAAGAATTGCGTCCTGCTGAGCTAAGACTAAGTCAAAAACTGGATAAGGTCCAGCCCAGAAGGAAGCGTGGCAAATTTCTGACTTAATCTCAACTGAGCAGGAAGGCTGAGATTACCCACCAGTGGATTCTCCACTCATCATGCTGGAGAAAAGGATCTGATATATGGAATAGGTTAGTCTGGCACCAGGCTGGAAACTGGGAGACCAAATGTTTTAGTCATGCCTTGGGCAGAAACTCAGCTGGGTGGCCTTGGGCCACTCACTTTCTCTTAGCACTAGGAAGGATGCAATGACAAACCACTTCTGAAAATATTTTGCCAAGAAAAAAAAGTGCAGTGACTTTTGCAGTGCTAGTAGTTTTTTGCCCCCCTAACATTCCTATCAAGGTTCTTCTTTCCCCTCATACATCCTTGTCGTTTATGAAATATAGCCTTGATCAAACACATGTGGAACAAATCGTACTGACAGCCATGCAACCTTTAGAAGGTTAGATGGACATCTATCAATCCATTCTGTAGCACCATAGGCACCAGGAAGGGACTTGCTCTGGAAGATTACAGGAAATCACTACTGAAAACCCCCCAATCAAAATCAAAACCTATGATCTACTTTTAGTCCAAGACTCATAACTCATAAAGAGTTAACAGTTTCTAAACAGTGGAACATTTCACCTGCCAATTTCTGTACAAGCTGCTCCAAAACTGAAAAAAAAAACAACAACCTAAAAACAAAAGGAAAACCCAGACTATCAACTCCTTTTCTCACTGTTCCTCCCTCCCTCTTTGCAGGGTGAACTTTGGAAGAAACAAAATTCAATTTGGTATTTAATCCCCACCGCATAAAGGCTAAACAACACCCCTGCAAAAATGCTTCATAAATGTAATGGCCTATGAAACTATGATGCAGTCTTCATCTTGTTTATTGAAAAATAAATAAACCAAAGTATATTTGAGAGCAGGATGGGCATTTTCAAAAGAAAAAAAAATGTTTATTATTTGAAGAGGACCTGTTTGTTTATTTAAACACCTCTGCATAGTTGCTCATTTCATACAGTGATTCTGCCTGTTCATATTGGGATACCCTTTTCCCTGTATAAAAAGTCAGATCAAGCTTTTATTGAAGATATAAAACACTGCACCTGGTAAAAGCTGCAGTATCAACATACAGCATATGTATTTACACAAAGGAATCCAAACGTACACAAAAATGACCACTCTTGCTAACATCTCAGTAACCTTTCTAGATATTTCATGCTGCTGACTTTTGTCTTTACTTCAAGGCACCCTCTATTTTCATGCAATGCTAAACTATATTTTGGTGCTCACGTTTTAGAAGAGTCCCCTAGTTCATCAACTCTCTACTCTGCTGATGCAGCTGCAATCACTTCAGAAATGCTCCTGCTTTTAACTAACTACAATTTAGTATTGTGTACAAAATGAAAAAATAGGGTTAATTTTAATAATGGCTTATTGAAATCCAACCTGAAGTTCCAGTTTATAAAATGAATTTAACAATAAACCATAGTTAAGTGGTCACCATTTAAGGATCAAAAGAAATACAATTACTGTAAAAGCCTATGGAAAGAATACTTTCAAAATAACATAAATTCTGCCATGCGGCCTCTATAGTCCATTCTACTGTATATCAAGTAGAGTGGAGGCCTCCATCTACCACAACTGCTATTAATTTCTTCGAATGGATGAAGCCACATAATTCTGCCTATTCTTAAACAAAGCACAGTATTTTTTGAACAGTACCATACCATGACTGAATTCATGTATCACACTGAACCAGGGTAGCTCAGTTCACATAGCACACTAATTCAGAAGCCATGGTTAAATAAAAACGGCTGAGCTTATATAAAACAAACAAAAAAATCATATCACTTCCCAGCATCTGTACATGTAAACCCAGCTTCTTGTACTCTTCTCAATGTCATTCTTCCTTAATTGTCTAGTTTATTATTCAGCTATTTTTTTAACAACAGTAAACATTATGAATCATAAATTCTAGGGGAAATTTGCATTTACTTCTTGATTTTATTTACTGGTGACAGTATGGCCTAATAAGGCAACACTATCTGGACCTAAACCTACTGTAGATGGCACTAAGTAAGAACAGCAATAAAGCAAAACCACAGACATTTAGATCTGAAAGCAACTTCTTGCATGATGGGGCAGATGATAGACCCTACAACTGTAGTAGCTATCACAGCTACTGCTACTTGGATAAATGGGCTTGATGTCAAGGGACAATCTGGAGCCGCACAACTAGCATATACTGGCTGGCCTCACCTTAAAAATACCAGTTCCTTTTTGAAATACCTATTTGAATGTCTTTGAAGCTGGCAGCAGTAATGTGGCAGTTAGACTGCCACGCAAACTGTCATAGCTGGAGAGTTTGCAGTTGAGGAACAGTTTACTTAATAACCCTAAAATGAAACTGGAGCTAGGACTGAAACTCTCAAATGTTAAAAGAATAATCAGCCAAAGCAAGCCCCAAAGCTGCCATACTCAGAAAACAATACAGACCTAATTTTTTTTCTCTTTCACATGCAGATTGTAAAGAAAAGCACATTCCTTCATTCATCCATCCACAGCAAAAGAAAGAACAGTTCAGGTTTTCCATTTGAGAAATGATGTTAATTTGCCCTCTGGTCTAGTTATACATTCCTCCTTCATCCTCTCTCCCAGCAGGAACCTTGTCACACCTTCACATCCGTCTACACAAAGCCAAGACAGCTCATCAAAACAGAGGGAGCAACCCCCTGCATTCTTCTGGCTGTCTCTTAGTCCTCAGGGAATGATACAGCTTGAGCAATTATCAGCTAGAATATGGCTCAGTTCCCTATAACTTCAGCTAAGGCAAAACAGCCTCCTGCTGCTTTTCTTGAGCACAGCAGAATAATCCATTCAAATAACAAAATGAAAGGGAAAAAAATAAAGCAGATTTACTGAACTATAAAAGCCGGTTGTTCTGATTACTTCTAGCTTGGCTTTGAATCTCAAGTTATTTGTTCAAAAGATTCCAACATCAACCATTTTTCAAAATGCCTTGATGGGACTACATCTTTTAAATATGGAAGTTCTTGTTTCAGTCCCCAGTATTTCCATTAAATGAGACAGTTATGTTCTTATGTAGCTGTCTTCTGGCAGTCCCAAAACCATCACCATGTCTAGGATGACACGTGAAGAGAAAATGCTAGTTCTGCTCCTATTAATGATGTTCCAAACATCCTGTTCTCATAAAAACCAACACTGAAGGAGGAATACTCCTTTATCTACTGGTATGTTCCTTCTAAAGCAAAAGAAGCTAACTGGCTGAATATAAGAACATTGTGTTATATGGAAGACCCGGGTTTGGAAGGAGTTATTTAAGAACAGTGTGGTAAACAAGAACATGCAAGGTCAAGAATGCCATCTATGGAATTGAATACAAGAGTGAGTGATCATTTAGAGAGAATGAATGAGGACTGGATTGCAAAACTAATACACAAAGGTAGAATGAACAAATTGGGAGGAAGGAGACAACTGAAAAAATCACAGTTAGATGATGTTGATGAAATTCTTAAGAGGTGAGAAGTGAGGTGATATATAAAGTAGAGTATGGGCTTGGTACTTTTACTTACTGAGGATAATGATGACCGTCTTGATGAGGTTGATCATAGTTTCCTTGTAGCGTGGGTGAAATGTAGTATGCTTAGACATCCGAGCCATCTTCCGCTTGACGTAGATGAAAATGTGAGTATAGACAACCACCATAATGAGGAAGATAAAGAGATTGGAAAGTGCCCAGAAGGTCAAATATCTGCGACTGTAGAGAGGAGCCATCGTAGAGCAATCATTCAGCTGACACAAGCAGTGCCAGCCATATGAAGGGATAAGACCCAGTAGCAGGGCTGTTATCCAGATGCAGCCAATGAGAATAATTACCCTCTGGTTGGACATCTTGCTATGGAGCTGCATGGTGAAAATTGTCTGGTGACGCTCCACTGCAATGGCCAAAAGGTTGACAACTGAGGCAGTCAGGCTGGTGTCCAAGAGGCTCTGCCTGATAAACCAAGTCTTCAGAGAGAGTTTAGCTGTCCTTGGCCCAGTGTGAAACATCAGGAACATGTATGCAATCCCAGCAAAAAGATCAGCTGCAGCCAGATTCCCCAAGAGGTAATAGATAGGATAGTGGAATCGCTTGTTGATAACAATGGCTGTGATAACCAACAAATTGGTGAGCAGTACAATGATGCTGACTGTCAAGCCAAGGGCAACCACCAAGATATCCTTGGGTCTCCATTCATGGAATAGCTCTTTTCCACTGTTGTTATAGAAGAACTCTACTGTCATATTATAATAGCACACAGTCATCTTTTCAAAGAGTCAAGTCCTAATTGGAGAGAGGGAGAAACGAAATGACACAATCTGAGCCTTTAAAGAGAGAACAGAAGATAGGGAGAAAAGAAAGAAATGAAGTCTTTTGTTTACACAACCTTTAAAGAGAGGATAAAAGACATGTCTAGCTAATATCAAGTTCTTTGTCCACCTTGGACTTAATTCACTCGCCAAATTTCAACTTAAGAAAGTCCCAAACATTAAGTATTCCTCTGACACAATTATTACCACATGTCCCAATTCACTGAAGATAAACAACTAAAGACATTCTCTTCTACCAATAGTTGAGAATGATCTTAAAGAACACCCACTTCATAAATATTAGACATCTTCCATGTATGTAATTAGAAAAAAGAAATCCAATACTCTCCTATTATGTATCTCCAATTAGCAAGGCTAGTAGTAAGGAATGATGGGTGCTGTAGCCTAAAGGTTCTGGAAAGTGCCAGGTTACATACCTCTGCTCTGTCCAAGGCTTGTTGTTGTTTACAAAAGCTTCTTATTTGTCAGGATAAAAACAGCAACATTGCCGGTGATCTACAGAGAGCAAAAGAGAAAATAAAGAAGACATTTCTCTCATTAGGCTGATGTTAACAATATCGGTAGAAACCAACAAATCTAATCGGTTAGAAGTCTTCCACTTTCTTAGATCTGGGACACATGTTTTAAAATACCTAGAACCATTGTTTTCTTGTGAAGCCCATTTTTTTATTCTCTTCCTCTTATTTTCTGGTTTTCAGAAAAACAAATAACAATGAAATTAAGATGGTGGTAGTAACATTGTTCTGACCCAACATAAGTGCTCAGTGATCAGACATAAAACCTGAATGCTAGTTATTTAACTTGCACAGCTTTTTGCCAGAGGTGTAAAACTCAACTCCTCCTATATAATGGCACAAGGAAATGTGACAGTTAAAATTCTATCTCTTCTATATTCTAATACATTGTACAAGACCAAGTTTTGCAGAAATGTATCTTTAGCTCAAGAAGTTTACTAGTCATAGTTTTGCCATAGTTGTGCAGAAGAAAGAAATGGTTAAATATAGTTTCATGCCTTAGCTTTCCATCTTCCCATTTAAATCTTCTCCATGGATATAACCATGTTATTAAGTCTACACATGTCTTGCACCAAAATTCAGTTATTTTTAAGGTCTGGAAACAATTTTATCTTTGGAAGAGGCAATGGAGTAAATTAGGTAAAAAGAAAAAGAGGATGGTAGTGAGTTTCATGTTGTTTCCTAAGAAAAAGTAATCTTGTTAGGAGAGGAATTTAGGAAAAACAAATTAGCCCCTGAGAAAGATACTACTATGATTAATTATTATAACCATGCATAAATTAGCCAGTACATTTCCTACTTCATTTTGTAGTTGGTCTGGAATGGATTTGGTTGTATCCTGTCTCTCTTAGTAATGTTTGAATGATGTACTATATCTTATTCTGTTACTTATTTAATAATACTTATTAGAATAAGATTTTATGGACAAATGCCTAATGGAGTATGGGGTATATGCATACCATGCTTATTACATTCCATTTAGTATCAGCTCGAGCAGTTACAAGCTGGAATGCAATGGAATATAATATGTAAACACACACACACACACATTTGTTTTCAGAATAAGTAATGCAGATTTAGTTAGCTGCAGTTAGAAATTGGGTATGTTATAACATTTCCTATGTTTTGGCAGAGACACACAGTAAATCTAAGAGGAGCAGAGCGAGGCATAGTGCTGCCTTCTTGGCACACATATATCTTAACACCAATTTTGTTTTCTGTGCTTTCTTAGCTATCAAGCATTTTGCAACAGCTGTGAGTAAGATTTCTCTTTCTTTCTCAGACATTTCCAGGTCTGATGCTAGATCCTCAACAATCCTTTGCCCACATTAAAAGACTGGAGAAACAACAGCATTTATATCAACAACACAGTGTAGGCCAGCAGCTCCCAACCTTCTGATATATTCTCGCACCCCTTACAAAAGTTCAAAATAACGGCAACAAATTGGGTATATACACTATAATTTTGAAAACCCAAGTTTTCACACACCCCTAGAATATCGTCTTGCATCCCCAGGGGGTGCGAGCACCCATAGTTGGTAACCCCTGGTGTAGGCTATTGTGGATAGGCATTGATGTGAGCAAACTCCACTGCATACATTTGCACTATACCCACAAATTTAAGAATTCCTGCTTGAACCAGGAAAGTAGTAGAAAACTTCTGAAATATGATAAGGAGTCAGTTGGCACCTTTTTCAATTAAATGTTTTTATTAAAGGTTATAAACTGCCATGAGCTGTAGCTCATCATCAAATGCATAGAGTGGCTAGAGACTAAGGTAAGATTTAAATTAGAATTGAGATGGGAACAGGGATGGAAGTAGTTTGGTTATGTAGATGCAGTTTACATGCATTTTTCCAAGAAGGATTGCCAGCACCTGATCAATTAGCAATTACAATGGGTTAAAAGCCCACTGTATTTGTTAAGACCTTATGAGATTGCCTGAAACCCTTTGATTTTGGGGGGAGTTAAGCAATTAAAGCAAAAATAAGCTTTATGGTGTTTTAAAGTCAGGTAAAAGGTTGTTTGTTTGTTTGCTTGGGGGTTTTTTTTGGTCAATCCCACAAGGTGCTACCAGACTCCTTCTAACGTGGTCCTCTTATAATGTCAGCTTCTGAAGAATCTCAGCTTTCATTAAAAAGAAAAAGAAAAAACAACTACCAGTTTCTACTTTGGGAATATAATGAAATTGCAGGATGTAAATGCCCAAAATATATCCCTTTACAGCTAAAAAGGAATATCTAAAAGTACATGGGCTAAAAGGGTAGAGACCAGAGAAATATTTGAACTGTAAACAGACCAGATGGCCTCTCTCAACACCCTTCTGCCTGTGATTAGCAGGTCTTGTAAAATTATGGCGGAAGGAAGGAAGGAAGGAAGGAAGGAAGGAAGGAAGGAAGGAAGGAAGGAAGGAAGGAAGGAAGACCTTATTGATATAGATTACAAAACTAATATTTTTAATGCAGAAATTAAATCAATTAGACCCATGCTTTAAATATTCCTACTATGCAGCATTTCAGACTTGAAGATCAAAAGGTATTTTGAAATGCACGGAAGTACTCATAGTATTATTTAAATTTCCTAAAAACAGCTACATCTTTTATGAGATACATGGTTGTTCTCTACAGCTACAGCATGATCCTGGGGAAAAAACACATTTAAACTGTTGCAGTGAAGTCCTATATATGCACTCACCCATATTCTCCAAAGCAGCTTTTAGCATTCTACAATAATGCAAAGTGCTGTACAGCTTGATTTCCTAGTACATGATAGACACACAAACAACTCAAAACCCATAGCTATTTCTTTTAAAAAGAGAAAAACTAATACAAACTAACATAATGTAAGAAAAAAAAAAGAAACCAAAGAGAAAGCTAAAAGTGCAAGAAAGGGGGGGGGGGAAGAAGAAAGATAGAGCTTCTATCTTCTGTACAGCAATTATAAGTCCAAATTATAAATTTATGTCTTACTCAATGGTTGCAACATAACTCTTTTCTTTCTACAATATTCTGTCTAATAATCAAAACTGTAAACCAATCTGCAAATTTGCATAAATATCTAATTTGCGTTAAGAAGGAATCAACTAGACAAAGTGTTTTTCCACTTTAGGCCAAAATCTTTAGATTTGAAGTAGTACTGGGGAAGCACATGAACAGAAGGATATGGTTTGCAGAAATGAGAAGCTGATAGGAGATGAGGAATAACCGGGAGTATCACACTAGCCTTCACTTCACCCACTAAGTTTTGCTGAAGATGCAGAACCTTTGGGATAAGACAGAAGCCAAGCTAGGGGGGAAATTGCCCATATCTGATAAGAAACCCTTCCTCAGAAATATTTCCTCCCTAAACTGGATATGTAGGCGATGAAGATGTTAAAAGATTTTTTGTAACCACAGCTGCTCTTACTCAGAAAATATTAAAAAAAAAAACAATAATGCTGCAAGTTTTGTTTATCACTCTGTAACAAAACGGCGATTCCAATTCATTTTCATGTATTTCCAGCTGCAACCCCTACCCTTTTACTGGCACTCATTACAAGTTAGTAACTCTAAGACAGATGCCTGTTAAAACTCTCAAAGGGTACAAAACATGCAAATGGAATGCTGCTATTGCAAAAACTAGGTATAAGGTTTTGGCCAGAGTTCTCCTTGGCTAAGGATGTCGACAACTGTAGTCTAATTTCAAACTGGAGAAGACTAGCTAAGTGTGATTGCTATATGGATATGAGAAATCTACAACTGAATTCATACTGCTTGCTAAGCCAACATTTTTGTAACTATGATTTATTGAATAAATTAGTTTTCTGGAACTAAACTAGGACCAGACAAAGCACATGATAGATGATCATGATCCAGATCTATGACCCTGAACATTCCAGTTCCAGACTTTGTCGAAGGACTGAATTATTAGCATTGAATTCGATAATCTCATATCAGTCTAGAACAGTGGTTCTCAACCTTTTTAATGCCGTGAACTCCAACCGGTTGTAAGTCGAGGACTACTCAACTGGTGCAGCACCGTTTGCAGAATGGGACTTTTGGCGGGCTCAGCAGGGCAGAGACAGCCTGGACAATTCCTATTGGCTTTTGAAAGCCAATAGAATTAGACTCTATTCAAGAGAGTCTATTCTATTGGCTTTCAAAAGCCAATAGAATAAAAGGGAGTAGCACAGCTAAGGAAAAGGGGGAAAAAAATGGCGGACTGTGTTGTTTGGCGACCCCCGTGAAATAGTTGTTCGACCCCAAATGGAGTCCCGACCCACAGGTTGAGAACCACTGGTCTAGAAGATGACTAGGAAAGTCAAGGATCTCAGGATGTAGATTCCATAATTTAGTCACGCTAGTTAGCTGGAGGAACCAAGTAAAAGCAACTACCGGTAGTCCTCAACTTATGACCACAATTGAGCCCAAAATTTATGTTGCTGAGACATTTGTTAAGTGAGTTTGGGCCCATTTTACGACCTTTCTTGCCACAGTTGTGAAGTGAATCATTGCAATTGTCAATAAGACAACTGTTAAGTAAGTCTGGTTCACTCATTGACTTTGCTTGTCAGAAGATCACAAAAGATGATCACATGATCCCAGGACACTGCAAGAGGCATAAATATGAACCAATTGCCAAGCATCTGAATTTTGATCACATGACCATGGGGATGCTGCATCGATCATGTGAAAAATGGCCATTTTTCAGGGATGTCACTTTCTTCAGGGATGTTTGAACTCTGAACGGTCACTAAATGAACTGTTGTAAAGTGAGGACTATTTGTAATCTGCATAATTGCTCAGAACAAGGATGACGCTCAAGAATCCCCCAAATGTCTGAGAGCAAATCCTCTACCAGCTCCTTTTTCTCTGGAGAAATAATTTATATCGTTTACAAATTAAATGTTCTGAACACAGAATGAAACACCCATGGATTGTACCACACCTATAGACTGAATATCACCTCTACCGATAACAAATGGTTCTACCAATCATTATA